TTTTCTTTCTCTTCTTCTTGCCACCTTTGCCTGACTTTGAAGAAGTTTCAGAGGTTGAAGCTGTAGCCTGAGGTTCTTGCTTTTTTGCTTTCTGAGGTTCCTGCTTCTTCACTCTCTCCAGATGTCTCGGTACCAATTCTGAAATTTTCTGCATCAGTTGCTTCCCTGCAAAATAGTATTATATCTACACAAGAATATCAACTTACTGCAGGAAACACCTCTCGATTTTACATGTGGAGTCTCTTCGTGCAAAGCATGTTAAGTTTGCAAGGCAAATTGTACCACACATTTTTTTACTGTTAAATGGATACAGTATGGACAATGCTTCTATAGTATGAACAATGCTTTTGTGTCACTCATCCCAGAGTGTTAAGGTCTTCTACCTAGCTATACAGATGCAACACTATCATCAATGCAAACACAAACATGTCACAAGTCTTGGGATTTGCCACAAGGTACATGAAACAAACAAGTTCTATATATATAGCACATATCAGATGCAATGGAACAATATCAAAGAAAACAAAGCGTCTCACTACTGAACCGTACCAAACCGTATTAAACCGGAAAACCAGTAAGTACAATTGATTTTGCTTATTCTCATTAGACAATGGAGACTCAATACGACCGAGCTCTTAGCTCCGTCGCTCAGGTGAAAATCGCCGACCAAATTGGAGATTCCGGCGACGAAGAAGGCGTAAAAGTCTCGTGCTTCACTGAAGTTTTCGATGACGTAACTCTCCAATTCCAGATCATTCGTCTCTCTTCCCGCCATTAACTTAGCTTGATTTTCGTACCTATTCCTTCTTCATCGGAACTAAAAATTGGTCTTGATCGGAGCAGATTTATGTATGGATTGGTTGTAATTCCGCCAAATTTGGGAATCTGTACGCAGCCGCTTCAACACGACCGGTGAGTTGAGCTGATTCCGATTTCCAAATCATGGGAATTAGTGTCTAATTCAGTGTTCTGAGTTTCGATTTGTTTCTATGGCAGAGTAATACAGTGAGTGTTACTTCAGTACTTGGTGGAACATCTGATAATACTGGATCTGGAATCGCGCGTAGATTAGGTTAGAATCTGATTATAGCAATTGCAAAATCATCTCTTCTTGATGCTATTTACAGTTATAAAGTCTCTGGTTTTGTCTTGTTCTAGTGTTGAAGACTGGTCTCAATATAATCTTGGCTTGCAACATCCCTAAGAACAATCCTTTGCTTGAGGTTCTTTCTTTCTTTTCCCTTTTGATATGGTTTTTTGTATATGCATTGCATTATAGAGAAATGTGGAAAGAACAAGCTTTGCTTTCGATAATACTCGTTTTGTGTTGTTGTGTAGGCAAAAGCTGAGAAAGTGTTGATCAGAAAGCTGATTGATCTTGGTTACACAATGTCAACACCTTTAAGATCAGGGTGAATCATTTTTAGCTGTGTTTGTTTCTCCTCTTTGTTGTCTATCTGCGGAATTCGTGAATGATTCTAACATATCTTGATCGAGTGGGCATGAATGATCAGTTATAAGTATGCTTAGCATGATTTCTTCTCCCCCATTTACCTATGTAGCTGAAAGATTTGGTTCCTTTTGTCATGGCTTTAAAATGTGTTTTGATTTCATCCTCTTCTTGTCAATTTGCGTGATTTCTACTCCCATTTTGAACTTCTTTGGATGCCTTGATTGATTTCTTGTTCTGCAACAAGTCCTTGCAAGCCCATGTATATGAAACTGTGATCTTTTCCCGGATATGATCTCGTTCTTTTCACTTATAAACAGTGTTGAATAAAGTGGTTATGATCTGCACATTACCCACTAGTCGCCTTTTTTTTACCAGGTTCAGCGATCAGTGGATTCCTCCTTCCCTGTATATTTCTATCACTTGCAAATCTGTATACATTCAGACTTTTCACCAAGAACGACATTGACCTATAGATAAACCACTTATTCATCAAACCAAAAGATGAGTGAGACTGAGAGTCCATGGCGTTCCTCTCTCTCGATAAGCACTTGGTTGTGTTTTTGACAAAGCAGACACTGAAATAAACTCTGAAAAAAATGAATCACTTCAGTTCTGTTTAATAAAGGAATTAATCTCCTTTTCATTTCTTGATTTACAGTCTAGGTTTTTTTAATTAGGGTTACCGAAACGGAGTCGTATTGAGGCTTGATTTCTTAGACGATGAATTGATGGTGAAGAAGCTGTGATGAGGATTGATTTCTTACACAGATCTGTGTTATTGGACCTATGTTGGGCTTTATTATACCCAATTATTTTCACATGTTGCTCTGTATTTTAGCTTTGTCTTCTTCCGAAGTCCTCGTAATGGAATTATCAGGGAATTGATCAACTAAGTAGAGTGGTTCTCTCTCAAATCCACCAAATCTTCTCACCATTTCTTCGTCCCTATCTCCAATTTCTTCTAATTCTCATCTCATTTCTCGTCGTAAGATAAGCTGATCTTCAGACTTATCAGAAGCTTGTTTTTGTCTTGCCAAATTCGAATTTATTTCTGGTTCGTTGTGCTGTCTATTTCTTCTTCGATCTTAGTTTCTTCAATAGATCTTTTTTGTTGTTTTGGTCTCATTGATTTCCAGTGTTCTAATTTGATGTTCTTCGATCATTGATGGCATATTCTCATCAGGTAAACCGGACGCGACTGAAGTCTACCAGAAAATCGCAGTATTGATTCCGAGAAAGGAAATCGGGTAAATTTGGATCAACTCATTGTCTTTCTTCCATACTAATCACAGCTCCAGTTCTATCACTTACTGTCTGATTTGTTACAAAACCATACCTTGTTCAAACTCCATAGCTCATTTGGCTTTCTCTTTTTAATTCACAAACAAATTTCATCATTAAGGGAATATGTGGTTAGGTCGAGTCCTTACAGTACTCTGTTACATGTGTTTTACTGTTTAGTTTCAATTTTGCTACACACAAAACAAATCAAATTAACAACTTTGGGAGAAAGAAAATTCGATTTTGCTTTGAGAAATTCTTTACTTAGTGAAAGAAGACTTATCAAGTATGAACATTAATTTCTTCCTGGATACTTTTTTCCATTATGTGGCTTCTTTCTCTTTTTTTACTGATACAAATGATGCTTAATGGTGAATTATTACTAGAAATGTAATAATAAAGATGGATTTTTTACTAGAAATTCATTGTGACTACACAAGAATGGCGAACAAGATTGCCATGTTTCTCTCGGAAGCGATGAACAACAATGCTGTAATAAACACGTGTCTAGGAGTATCATTTGTTGTTTTGGGATTGAGATCTGATAAACAGCAAAAGTACGTCGAGGCCTTACAGGAGCAGAAGGAATCGCTCTTCAAGTCTAATAAGGAAATGAAAGTCACAATGTGGGAATGGAAACAGCAACTCTTTGCTGAAGCCGCCTCTGCTGGTAATTCCGCAGTTGTTCCTCTGTCCACGCTTAAGGCCATCTATGGCGAGGTCACTCTGTCTGGTAATTATTCTCAGTCCTCTCTTTTGCTTTCATTACCAATCATTCAATCTTATCCACAATATATACGTACATATTATCTGCATAAAACTTTCTCTCTTCTTGAATGTTTGTGCATTATATGAAGTTCACAAACTAAAGTAACAATTGAAGAGGGCATGCTGGTTTTGATGATAGATCTCTGATTGATTCATCTGTGCTTGACATGGGGTGCAAATACAAACTAGGGTAGCTTTTAGTCTTAATGGGTCAATGAATAAACCCGTTGCACTTATCGAATACAAATAAAAATGGGATTATAATTTAGAATTGATATGTTTTAGACCCTTATGGGAAGGGGAATGAATATGATCGTGATTAGTTGCGCATTCACTTAACTTGTTCTATGTTCTTTCTTCCAAGTGACAGCCAAGGAAGAGTCTAAAGTGTCTACCCCGAAGATCATGATTTGAGAAAGATTGAGGCGAAGATACTTTGTTAAAATTTTCGGTAGGTTCATTTCACTTAGAGATTAGCATTGAGTCTCATCATTTACATCTGTAAACTAGTTTGGCATTATTCTCTGTTGTTTTTCCTTTTTTTTGTTCCTGGTAAGTAAACAAACATTAAACAAAGTTCCTAAAATAAGCTAGACCGTCTTATTGGGGTCGATTGATTACTCAAATAAACTAAAAGTGATCAGGTTGATCTCAAAAGTTATAACATACTTTAATATTATAAATGTTTTGGTAGTTATTGTATAAAATAGATATTAAAATACGGAAGGAACATTGGATTCTAGAGTTTGTCTCTGGATTCGTGTGCGATACGGATGCAGCCTGGATTGTTGTATCCCTACATTGCGGTTTAGATTGGGTTCTCTCTTCGGATGGGAGCTCCTCTGTTTTGACTGCATCAGCTTCATTTGTTGCTGTTTCGTCGGCTCTTGCAGCGGAAACTAGAGCTATGAATGCTGCCTTAATCTATGCAATAGATAAGGATTGTGACAACACCATGATGAGGTCTGATTCGCAATCTCTTATGTCTTCTCAACTCGGCAAAGGCACTTATCTATGTTGATGTCTTCGAAGATCTTAGAGAGTTGGTGATCTCCTTTGATTATATCCTATTTCAGTTTGTTTCATGTACTGCAATTTTTGCTAAACTGGCCCTAGTGGTACTTGAGCAAAATGTAAACGAGAATTTTAAGTAATAAAAATTAACGTTGTGACCAAAAAAAATATATATATACGGAAGGAAAGGAATATCAATTCCAAGTTCCAACCATCACTTCATTCACCTTGATCTGTTCATCATTTGCGACCTGAGGATGATGGTTTGGTAGAAGAATGGTCGAATTTACAAATTGGACCGAATTTGCAGATGCCGAGGCGACTGGTTTGATCATATCTTAGCAATAAGCCCATGTCATTGAGATTACATGGAGGCTCTCTCGGTGTTATATTCTTAGGGTGATGATATTTGCAATTCTGTTTCAGATAACAGTTTCTTGTTGTGTTTGTATTCTGGTTGGCCTGGACGGGAAATTCTTCTCCTGACATTTTTTTCTTGTGTTTTTATTGCCTGAATAAGCTTGTGTTGTGTATCTATCTACCTACATATACACACTACAAAAAGAGATCTTGCATTGAATACTAAAATTACATGTTTAATATGTTGGAGAAATATATCATCTTTAACATTTATTATATCTTCTAATTAAAGGAGAAACATTTTTGGCCACTTTTGTTT